TATTACACGATGTTCTTCGTTCACCGTGGAAGTCAATCGAGAACATTTGCTAAGTACGTATTTCATTAGAAAAATTGGTACTTGCCAGCGAGATTCGAACGCCGGTGCATCGCTAGATACGAACGCACCGGATGTCTTATCCTTTAGGCCGCGACGACTTAAATCACACCACTTACTTATAAAATGTATGTCCATACTGTGTAAATACTAGACAACAATGTAATTACGTAACATCTATTTTATTAGTTTGAAAGTTCCGAAAGTGTACCAGCCGCTCTTGTGGCGATCGTCGAAACTTATTCAATAAGAACTTTCCCAGCAACATGTTACTGAGCTATTCAGACTCGAACTGTCCAGTTTCCCAGCTCTTATTTCAATTATACAGCTCTCTTATACAGCGACCAAGTATTTGTAGTTACAATGGGAAACAAAAAAACGACACATGAAGAGATGTGATATAGAGCCCTCTCAATGGTAGCGCTTGGCAGCACAGCGGCCAGAATGGCGCAGGATGGTGAACAGCAAAGTACGCGAGTTCGAGGATCAGCGTAAAGCTGACCTTGATTACAAGAGCGACAAGTTGAAGGCCCGCCCTCCTGCTGCCATAGCTTATAATTATAAGAACGGCGTGCTTACGTGCCCTCAATGCCCAAGGAATTTTGCCGCGAAGATAGGCTATATAAGCCATCTTCGAGCGCACGAGCGCCATATCGACGGATAGGAGTGAAAGTGGTCGCCACGGCCGAAAACGGTCGGACGAATCATCATCATCATCATCAGCTACTGTGGACGGCTTCACTGGGGGTTAGGACTTTTTGTGAGTCCGCACGGGTAGGTACCACCACCCTGCCTATTTCTGCCGTGAAGCAGTAATGCGTTTCGGTTTGAAGGGTGGGGCAGCCGTTGTAACTGTAACTATACTTGAGACCTTAGAACTTATATCTCAAGGTGGGTGGCGCATTTACGAAAGCTTATCTTGTTGTTAAAATGTCGTAAGCGAGATTCAGACATCTGTCAATATCTTGTGTTGTATGATGGCTACCCGCGACACTTCCGTGCACAATGCGATCTGGTCGCTACGAAATGTCCTATAAAATTGTTTTACAGATTCGTCAGCAGTAACCAGAAGCTTAATGTGTTCTTTTTATCACCTTAAGGTCCCTCAAACGATAAGCGGTACTAGTCACTAGAGAATACCAGTAAATTTACGCTAAATTCATTTTAGATCGCATTCTATGAATATTAAAGTACGCGAAGTTCAGCAAACCGCTCCAGTAAATCAGGTCATGTTTCCTCTCCCGTGCGGATTAAAGCAATTTAAATTGGCTGACATTAGCACGGACAGGGGCGTTCGCAGTGTCCTAGTTTGCACAGGCACGCCCCTAGCTCACAGTACCGACAAACTCGGACGGTAATTGCTCTTTTGCAAAACACACATGTATAATATTACAGTTTTTAGGGCTTCGTTAGTCAAAATGGAAAGTAACTATATCTCATAATGTAATTAAAAAAGCCACTACTCTTTTCATTACATTTTTAGTAACTTTTTTATAAAGATCTTAGGCCTCATTTGACGGATCGTCATCCAGGCTCTGCATCTCGGCTTTGAACTCAAGAATTAATTCTGGTTTATTGACGTAATCTCAAGTTTTCGTAAAACTTTTCTCAAGAAAGCTTTTTATTTTTTATTGCTTAGGTGAGTGGACGATCTCACAGCCCGCCTGGTGTTAAGTAGTTACAGGAGCCCATAGACATCTACAACGTAAATGATATGAGTTCTAAGGTCTCAGTATAGTTACAACAGCTGCTACACCCTTCAAACCGAAACGCATTAGTGCTTCACGGCAGAAATAGGCAAAGCGGTGGTACCTACCCGTGCGGACTTACAAGAGGCCCTACCACCAGTAATCGCGCTGTTTTTAATACTAGGGTGGGTCGGTGGCCAGTTCACAACCAAATTTCGAGAGGTGGTGCTTTCTCGTTCATTCGTTGCTGTAACAAAGTGATTCACGCACGGTTCCGCGCCGTCCTCCTATTGAATCCTTGAATTTTTGAATGAACTTATTTGAACCTTTGAATGGACTTATTGTCTAAATCTCTAAAGTAGTGCAGAGAAAACCTTAAAGCATTCGAAAAGTCGGGAATAAGTAACGTGAAATTCGTAATCGTCAAAGTAGTTTGAATTACGCTTATGATCCGCGAAAATCGAAAAAAATAACGTTCCTAAGTGTTACTCTAATTTCATCGTGTGGTCTCGGCCTAGGATATTATCACACCGTCGGTTCTTATGATGTCGTAAACGGCAACTGAGAGATTACTCGGACAATTGGCAGCTGCGTTATTTAAGAATATTATATCAACATACAAGTCGTCGTGGCTCAAAGGATAAGACGTCCGGTGCATTCGTATATAGCGATGCAACGGTGTTCGAATCCCGCAGGCGGGACCAATTTGCTAATGAAATACGTACTTAACTATTGTTCACGATTGACTTCCACGGTGAAGGAATAACATCGTGTAATAAAAATCAAACCTGCGAAATTATAATTTGCGTAATTACTGGTGGTAGGACCTCTTGTGAGTCCGCACGGGTAGGTACCACCGCCCCGCCTATTTCTGCCGAGAAGCAGTAATGCGTTTCGGTTTGAAGGTTGGGGCAGCCGTTGTAATTATACCTTAGAGCTTATATCTCAAGGTGTGTGGCGCATTTACGTTGTAGATGTCTATGGGTTCCAGTAACCACTTAACACCAGGTGGACTGTGAGCTCGTCTACACATCTAGGCAATAAAAAATAAATAAATAAACTTATGTATCCTCCTTGAATCTTGTATTCCTCAATGCTGAGGTTCGTGACCTTTACGGAGCAGTTTTGTTCGGGCTATGTTCCTCCATCATTTCCGTTCTCTGCGTCGTGGATAGCGACATTAGTGCCCGAGTCCAATGTTGTCTTAATTTAATGGGACCAGCGCAATTCGTGCACACATACCCTAACACTTGTTTTATATTGTAACTTAAAAATAAACTTGAATAACCACTGTTTCATCCCATAAATATAGATATATTATTTATTATTATTATATATTTATTTAAGTACTATGTATTATGTATGTTATATATACACATAATATATGTTTAAGTAAAATCACCTTCACACTACACCTACCAAACTTCATCTCTGCACTCCCCTAAGGTAGACTGTTAGAGAATGCCTATGGCATTACGTCCGCCTTTATACTTTCTAGTATAAGAAGTTATAAATAAATAAATAAATATCAGGTGATGAAAAGCTCTTTGATTTAAGGGACACTTCCCTTAATACGCGACGATTATCTTTATAATTAAAGGTCCGTTTTATTTGGTATTCGCATGAACAATTCGATGTTTTTAATCGAACTTCAATTATGTTAGGCGATTGCACTGTCGATTGCATCTATAATTGAGGTGACATCTGCCATGTATTTATTGTCAATTTGCCAAAGTTTTGTATTGATGATCACTTTTATGGTGAAACTAAATAAATAAATGACAACATTTTGAAGAACTGAAGAAAAATTTTTTCATGATATTTTTTCCTAAATATTAAACTTTAAATGTCTCTCCTGTAGAGTTTCAAAAATTAATAGCTTAAACCTAATAGCCTTTCACTTCTAGAGATCATACATAGATAATGACGTACATTATACAAATATCTACGATTTTCGACCAATGCTAGGTAATGTAAACCATTTTTTCTAAACCCTAACGTTTGCGCCAAGTAATGATAGATATTAGACATATCGACGCTTGAAAGGCAAACGTGACTAAGCGACAATAACTACTTTGTACATAAATGATAGGCAATAACCATATTCGATGCGCAAAAAAATATATATTTCTAAGTCTATTAAAATCATTTCAATCCTAGAGCTAGATTAGTTAAAATAGATTTTTTTTCAGGTATTTCAACTTTAAATTAGTCTACTGTAAAGTTCACGCATTGCCGCTTAGTCACGTTTGCCTTTCAAGCGTCGATATGTATTATTAAAACACGTGTTTGGTTTTTTAGTATATTTATTATTAATTGCATTAAGTTAACATTTTTTTAACGACATCCAATCTGCAATTTAGTTCGCCTTATTTGTCTGCTCAAATACAGTTGCCATAGTTAAAAAACTTTCTGTGTAGCAACAGTAACAGTAAAACATTTATTTTTATGCACTAGTTACAAGAGTACCACTGCTGTATCCAAAACCAGCTATCTAGGTAACGTTAATGGAAAATTCTTTTATTAAGCTAAGCAGAAACATTTTTTCTTTTCAATAGGTTTTTCTACATTTGAGATGAATTCTCAGGCAGCTCGTGACTCTCTTGACCTCGAAGCTCTGAATCAATCGTCCAGCATCACCTTACTGGTGTCCATCTATAAGAATTTTAATGCTAATACCTCAAAAACCCCTAAAAAAATCTGTTAAAATTTTCGAAAACTGTTACAATACCCATTGTAAGGGCGGTTTAGCCAATGCGTTACCTTATCCCACTGCTCATAAAGCGGTACTATCAAGTGTTAATAAAGCTACCGAATAACTTGCAATCATTCTCATTGGTTAACTCTACAAAAATATCTATATACATAAAAATGAATTGCTGTTTGTTAGTCTCGCTAAAACTCGAGAACGGCTCGACCGATTTGGCTAATTTTGGTCTTGAATTATTTGTTGAAGTCCAGAGAAGGTTTAAAAGGTAAAGATAAATATGGAAATGCTCGGAATTAAATAAAAATAACAATTTTGTTTTTCCTTTGATGTGTCCCACGTCGGACGGTTTCCTTTTGTTTGTTTTAAGTTTATTTTATACAAAAGTTTAGGTATTTTATTTATCAATTGAGGCACTGCAAAGTCTGCCGGGTCAGCTAGTCTTCTTATATAACACAGAACACTAGAAATTCAACTAACGAAACAAACTTAACGAATGTAATTTCCTATATATATATAGGACCACTTTAACCCTGACTTTCTTCCAGCTGGATGCGCCTCTGTTTCCTGACCGACCCTCGGGGCAAAGTTCCCGTCAAGGTGGTGGCCAGGACCTTTGCTTCTGGCAAGACCGAGAAGCTAGTCTACCAGTGCCTGTCCGAACTGGGTCTGCCGTCAGGGAAGAATGACGTCATGGAAAAAGAAGCCTTCACGTTTGACAAGTTTTACGCTCTGTATCATAAGATTTGCCCGAGAAACGATATTGAGGAATTGTTTCGTTCTATGTAAGTTTTATTTTAGATTTATTTATTTATTTAGTCTATTTACAAATTAACGGCATAAACCAAAACATTTGTAAGGTATTAACGTATTAATATAACGGCCGTCTGGTGTAGTGGTAAGTGACATGGTCACTACACAAGGGAAGATATTTGTATGATAAATATAAACGTCTTTTCCAGGGTTATGGATGTATATTAAATATATGTATGTGTATAATAAAAATCTTACATTTATTTTCCGTTATCTGGTACCTGTAACACAAGTTATTTACGAACTTATCACGGGACCAGTTAATGTGGCGTGATTGTTAGTAAATATTTATTTATTTATTAATAATTAGCTTAAGTAACTTCTAACAACAACAATAAATCGCTGCAAACCATCATGGAATATATCCATTTCCGGAGCATAGGCTAGCAAGCCATTGAGTAGCGAGACAGCACGATGCGTCGGAGAGTAAAGCCGAATTTACATTACGAAATTAGTGGCGTGAAATTAATTTCGTGACATTAGTTTTACTAACATTTTCACGTGTATAAATTACACGTACTTTACCTATAAATTACATATACTTTCGTAATGCATGCATTAATTTCATGCATGGAANCGCCGGCAGTCCGCCACAAAGCCTCGTACTGATCGCGCGTTTCTCTCATTATTGTATTTTCATATATTTGTTAGTCGTTTGTTTTGTGTCTCGTTAATTTGTTAATAATCTGTAGTGTATCGTGTTGTCGTAATATAGAACTATTTCTCGTATTGTTTCGTTTAATTTTTTATATCCAGTAAACTCCAGTCGTGCGTCGGAGCGGACACACACACTTTTTTTAACAATCACGCCACGTTAACTGGTCCCGATAAAAGTTCGTAAAGAACTTGTGTTACAGGTACCAGATAACGGATATAAATGTAAGATTTTTATTATACACATACATATATTTAATATACATCCATAACCCTGGAACAGACATTTATATTTATCATACAAATATCTTCCCTTGGCGGGATTCGAACCCGCGACCCCCTAGTGTAGTGACCATGTCACTTACCACTACACCAGACGGCCGTTGAGTAGCGAGACAGCACGATGCGTCGGAGAGTTAGCGGTGTGCTGCGTACGCGTGTGCGTGGTACTAAAAAGCTGCCGCTGGCGACGCACCCCTCCACAATGTAGCATAGAAGTAACTAGCAATGGAACTCATGATTATGTCTTTCCATATATTGTATCAAGTAACCAGGTTTACGTGTGGCAACTATACCGGCGTTTGGTAGCAGTTTAATCACAATATCTATTACATATATTAATGCTGAGAAATAAATAATACATTAATAAATAAAATTGTAATACTAATAAGATGGGAAAACCAACCCGATTATTTTTTTGAATTGAGAGCTAAACTATATCAGGACTATATCTCAAAGACTCACTCACAAGTTATTATTTCTTAGCCGATTGAACGAGCTCATAAGTGATTACCGGAGCCCATAGGCATCAACAACGTACATGTCGCCGCTCATTTCTATAGTATAACGGCTGCCCCACCCTTGAAATTGGAACATATTACGATAGAAATAAGCAGGCTTCTTTTATAGAACGTAGCTATTTGTAAGCAGCTTTGACAGTGATTTCAAAAACGCATTACTTACCACATTATATTACAAAAGCGTATTACTGTTTTGCGGCAGGAAAAAGTAAGATGGTGGTTCTTTTTTTTTTTATTGCTTAGATGGGTGGACGAGCTCACAGCCCACCTGGTAGTGAGTGATTACTGGTGCCCATAGACATCTACAACGTAAATGCGCCACCCACCTTGACATATAAGTTCTAAGGTCTCAGTATAGTTACCCGCCCGCCCGCTCGGTTCCTACCCGTGCGGGCACTTAAGACGCCCTACCACCATCAAATACGCAAATTATAATTTCTGTCCATTTGAATCTTACTATATAGTGTTATTCCTTCATTGGAGTTGTTCGTGAAGATAAGCTAAGTACGTATTTAATTAGAAAAATTTTTATTTGCCTGCGGGATTCGAACACCGGCTTAGTCGCACCGCTTGATACTAATTTACTGATGGTAGGACCTCTTGTGAGTCCGCACGGGTAGGTACCACCACCCTGCTTATTTCTGCCGTGAAGCAGTACTGCGCTTCGGTTTGAAGAGTGGGGTAGCCGTTGTAACTATACTTCAGACCTTAGAACTTATATCTCAAGGTGGCTGGCGCATTTACGTCGTAGATGTCTATGGGCTCCAGTAACTATTAGTGGTAACACCAGGTGGGCTGTGAGCTCGTCCACCCATCTAAGCAATAAATAAAAAAATGCACCGGGCGTCTTATCCTTTAGGCCACGACGATGTCAAATACAGCCGCTTTGATCACGCAGTAAAGTGGGTTCCAATGAACTGGTATAGATTTAACTGCAATTAATAATTCAAGGCACCTCGAGATAGTTTTCTTTTTCGTCTTCATTGAGCACCAGATGAGTAGTCGAGATAAATGCGAAACTATTTACCTAAAGTAAAGTGTGCGCCTGTACAACAAAATGCCCACAAGATGTTCAGAACCTACATATACATAGGCTTAAGAAAACTATTAAAGAACATCTGTGCAATAAAGCTTACTATAAAGTCAATGATTATCTAGAAGATTGCACAAAGTGGGAATGAGTTGCTCGCTCCGGGCAGTTCAATATTGTAATAATTGTTATGTTATTATACTCATGTAAATATGTACATTTTAAAAAAATCTAATATTAAAAAAATAAGCTAATATTAAAAAAAAAAAAACATGCCCGCTGAGTTTCTTGCCAATTCTTCTCAGGACGAAGGCTAGTTCTTGTGAATTGGCGGTAGTTCTTTTGACGTTCAACAAGTATGTACTTTCATTTATGTTGAATAAAACTTTTTTGATTTGATTTGAAAGATGAAAGTAATCTTGTTTTTACTTTCAGAACTCAGGGCAAATCCGATCGCATAAATTTGGACCAGTTCGTGAACTTCCTGAATGAGAAGCAACGTGATCCTCGACTCAACGAGATCCTGTACCCGCTGTACGATGAGAAGAGAGCAGCTGAGATCATCACGACTTATGAACAGAATGAAGAAGCCAAGAATGCGAGTAAGTTGTTGTTTAAGTTCGCAGGCCCTATCCTTACCGTATCTATGATTTATTGACAATACGAATTCACATCTCAAGGCGGGAACTCAATGTCTATGGGAATTTCTGTTTTCTCATTTACATTGTCTTAGGTACATGAGTAGACGGCACGTCCCGTTTAGTATTATTGTTTACAAGACTGCCGAAGACTGAAGACAACTTGTGTGCCACAGATATTCTGAACACATCCACAGAAAATTCGATAAAGAAAAATTATCTCACGATAAAAAATGTGATTTATTTACATATTTTACTGATTCTTAATCAATTATTTTTAGTTTATCAATAATTAAATGTAATAGTTCATTCGTATATCGTGGGATAAACAGACTGGCCACAGTTTAATGTTTTTCATTTACCTATGTTTTATTTTTTACAACGAGGTCTTAGAAACACTTGGAGGGACTGTGTGAAAGCGTTTTTGCGAGAGAAGCGTGTGAGGTATGCCTGTATGGAAAAAGAGGTCATTTTATGCCGACCCTACATAGTGGGATAAAAGCACAGAAGAATATAAAGAAGTTTTATTTCTTCACGTCATTAGGCGTTAAGCCGTTTGCTAGGTCCAACACCTTTTATACAATGCACCTTCCATATCAACCTTATGTCTGTTGTGATTTCCATGCGCTCTGGTATCTTCTTATCGCTATATGAGCCGACTTTTTTTTTATTGCTTAGATAGGTGGACGAGCTCACAGCCCACCTGGTTTTAAGTGGTTACCGGAGCTCATAGACATCTACGACGTAAATCCGCTACCCACCTTGAGATATCGGTTCTAAGGTCTCAAGTATAGTTACAACGGCTGCCCCACCCTTCAAACCGAAACGCATTACTGCTTCACGGCAGACATAGGCAGGGCGGTGGTAACTACCCGTGCGTACTCACAAGAGGTCCTGCCACCAGTAATTACGCAAATTATAATTTTGCGGGTTTGATTTGCTGTGCATTTCACCCATTAAGAGTAACCAGCTATCTACCAAATCATTCACAGTCCCATTACTTCACAGAATGCTTGACAAAAGACGGTCTGATCCGCTACTTGATGTCGGACGAGAATGCTCCTGTGTTCCTCGACCGTCTCGACAACTATATGGACATGGACCAGCCACTCGCTCATTACTACATCAACTCCTCGCACAACACGTACCTAAGCGGACGACAGTTCGGAGGGAAAAGCTCCGTGGAGATGTACCGACAGGTCTTGTTGGCTGGTTGCCGGTAAGCACAAACAATTTTAGAAGTAGTTTAATATAATTTAGATCCAAGGCTTGGTAAGCGGGCTTGGTAATTTACTGGTGGTAGGACCTCTTGTGAGTCCGCGCGGGTGGGTACCATCATCCTGCCTATTTCTGCCGTGAAGCAGTAATGCGTTTCGGTTTGAAGGGCGGGGCAGCCGTTGTAACTATACTTGAGACCTTAGAACTTATATCTCAAGGTGGGTGGCGCATTTACGTTGTAGATGTCTATGGGCTCCAGTAACCAATTAACATCAGGTGGGCTGTGAGCTCGTCCATACATCTAAGCAATAAAAAAAAAATGAATTGTTATTGTTGTGTTTTTCATTTATTTATTATATTTTATATGTGATTATTTAAGTTAAGTGCTTGATTTCAAAAAAAGATCAAAAGAGTACATTTGCCCTCTTTTGGACTAAAAGAGGCTGTTTAATTCTAAAAAACTGATAGAATACAAATTTTCATCATAGGCCGTCCGAAGTATAAAACTCATTTCCTTAAAATTTTTAGCTAAAATTGCGGTATGTCAAAATTATTAAAATTTTATTGAGCCCAAATTACTGTCATTAAGATAATATCTACGACACATAACTTCCGATACACCGATTTCCCATAAATTTTAATAATACGAAATTTTCACAAGTCATTCCAAATATTACCCGTCATCAAATCGTTCCGCAGCTTAGTGTGACGTAACTTGCCTTTCTTGTCAAAGGAATATCTCTCGAGAAAATCAACAGAACAATCTCGAAGGCCACATCGGTTACCTTCAAGAATGTTATTAATTGCCATAAGGTTGCTTAGAATGTTCCAAGATTGATAGCTGATTGATAAACAAAGTTATTTGATCGGTTTTGATTAGTTCTTGAAACTCGCCAAAAGTTTGTTATAACTTTATTGGGATAATCTATGTAATCGATGTGTTGACGCGGTAACATTTGTATGAACATAAATTATCGAAATACATATGTAGAAGGGGTATGATCTTGTGAGATGTTGACTTAGTTTTGACAGATTTGTTTCAATGTCTTAACTTTTTTTCTACTTTTTCTTATATATATTTTATATCTACAGCCCACCTGATGTTAAGTGATTAACAGTCCATAGAACATAAAGTGAATACTATTTATTGCTCACCTTTCCAAATGAGGTTGAGGTTTAAGTGGGAAAACGGCTTCAAATTGGAATGTTCGATTTCCTCGCCGCAGAGATAAGCAGGCTAATGGTACCACTGTGGTGGGAGGACGAGATCACAGCCCACCTGGTGTTAAGTGGTTACTAAAGTCCATAGACATCTACAACGTTAATGCCGCCACCCATCTTGAGATATGAGTTCTAAGGTCTCAGTATAATTACAACGGCTGGCCCACCCTTCAAAACCGAAACGCATTACTGCTTCACAGCAGAAAAAGGCGGGGTGGTGGTACCTGCTCGTGCGGACTCACAAGCGGTCCTACCACCAGTATGTTTCTGACGATTGTGTTAATTCGGAAGTGTCAGACGGGCGATAATGAACCTATGTCGCAACTTTATCTTATTCTCACCCTTTTTTAGGTAATGCAAATTTAACAGTATACAATTTATAACCAAATTTTCTAGGGGAGTCGTGAAAGAGATCAATAAAATAACGAATTTCCTAAACATTCATATAGTTAATTCACGGTCCGTTGCGTTAGATCTATTTTCGTGGAATGATTCGACGTATACGAACTGATCGTCAATATTAACGCATCAATACTTTCCCACTCGAATCGGACATGCCCTTGACTTGATGTACCAATAATTGTGTCCAATTTATACGACGTAATACCATGAAATCATACCACAAGAGATTACAACAAAATAAAATTACAATTTGCTAGCATGATTAATGGAAATTTGCAAATAACGCTCACTAAGTAGCTAGTGACTGACCAGAGATACCGATTTCAATACAGTTAAATTATCTCAATGGCACTGTAGGGACTACATATGTATCCATATTGCCTATCAATGTATATTGTTTTGGCTACCTATGCTGATAGCCTTGAGAGGCTATATCAGCTTTACCCTAGCGTGTAGGTGAGCTCTTGGGGCTCAAACCGTTGCCAACACTGGCCCTAGCTAGAGCAGTACTTCGCAGAATCTAGCACCGGATTGAAAACGCGACCCACTAAGAAGATTCGGCGAGAAACGGTGACCGGTGCTTGTGGTACCTAAAATCACCGTTAATGGATCAGGAGGATCCGTAATGACGTCTTTAGGGCCCGAATGTTGCTGTTCGGAACTTGTATATACGCAAACTTATCTTGTTGTTAAAAGGTCTTAAGCGAGATTCAAGCATCCGTGTTGTTAATTAATGATTGTTGATTATTAAGCTTTGTTAGTTATTAAGCGACTTTTATATAACAGCGTAGCTACAGTCAGACTCAGGATTGTTGGGCTGTCGATAGCGCGTTGTATTTTAATTGTAATCATTATAATGCGAATATAGTTTAATCACTTAACTGACCACAGTGTCTCATTAACTTTACCCGACTACGAAGCTCAACAGTACTTTTTTTTATTTACTGCTTAGATGGGTGGGCGAGCTCACAGGCCACCTGGTATTAAGTGGTAACTGGAGCCCATAGACATCTACAACGTAAATGCGCCACCCACCTTGAGATATAAGTTCTAAGATCTCAGTATAGTTACAACGGTTGACCTACCCTTCCAACCGAAACGCATTACTGCTTCATGGCAGAAATAGGCGGGGTGGTGTACCCTACGGACTCACAAGAAGTTCTACCACCAGTGATATTTTATGTATGACTTTATCCACAGATGCGTAGAGCTAGACTGTTGGGACGGCAAAGGCGAGGATGAAGAGCCAATCATAACGCACGGCATGGCAATGTGCACTGACATACTGTTCAAAGATGTCATATACGCCCTGAGGGATACCGCCTTCGTGACTTCAGACTACCCAGTCATCCTATCATTTGAGAACCACTGTTGCAAGGCCCAGCAATACAAGCTGGCCAAATACTGTGACGAGATCTTGGGTGATTTGCTGCTTAAGGAACCGCTGCCTGATCATCCGGTAGGAAAAATAAAAAAAAACATTACAAATGTTAATGCAATTGATTTAATTGAAACAGTAAAATCAAATTAACTTATATTTGAAAGCTTTATAATTCATATTTCAGTTTTATTTCTTAATGGACATCCTTTTTTTATCACCCACTTGCTTTTCATGGATTTATTAAGACAATTTACAATAATTTACAATTTCATCTGTTGCCAGACTGCTTATAGTCAATCAAAAGTTTTGGAATGGAAATAAATCCAACATACAATAATTATTCCAATTTAATAGGTACAACCTTGAATTTTGTTCTATGTTATGTGTGCCGGAAATACGTGACACACAAAATCAAGAACTATATCCCACAAAGAAAAATATTTATTGCAAGAACCATACTGCGATTGAAAGTGGAACCTAGATCCAATCCGTACCGTAGCACAAAAGTCGTAGGCATTAATCACTTGGTTAATGCGGCGTTCAAAAACGAATTAAAAAGAATGATGATGTAAATATATTTTCAATCAAATATATTACTATTTATGATTCTCATTTTTATAATTGCCAAACGTGATTAGCAAAATTTTTTTGTCTTCTCAACCCTTAGTTGGACCCAGGAGTGCCATTACCTCCGCCTTCAGCCCTCAAACGCAAGATCATGATTAAGAACAAACGTCTAAAGCCAGAAGTTGAGAAGCAAGAATTAGAGCTGTTCCGTCAAGGACAGTTTGTCATCGAAGAAGAAGAGAAAGAAGATGCTTCTGCAGTTGCCATTCTGGATAAGAAGGTAAATTAAAAAGCAAATCTTCATAATCATGCCTAACAAGGACGCATTCTTCGGCAACCAACAACCAGACAACCCATTCACAATCAACAACCACTTTGCCTTACTTGTAACCAAAGATATTTTTTATTCAAAACTAGCTGACCCAGCAGACTTCGTAGTGCCCCAATCGATAAATAAAAGACCTAAACTTTTGTACAAAATAAACTTAAAACAAACAAAAGGAATCCGTCCGACGGGGGCACATCAAAGGGAAAACAAAATTATTATTTTTATTTAATTCTCAGCATTTTCATATTTATCTAACTTTTAAACCTTCTCTGGACTTCCACAAATAATTCAAGACCAAAATTAGCCAAATCGGCCCAGCCGCTCTCGAGTTTTAGCGAGACTAACGAACAGCAATAAATAATCAGAATTTCAATACAATTTTATTCATGTTTATTGTAGAATAACAATAACCCTACTGAGTAGATTAATAGACTAATTATTTTTAATATTTACGTAGACATCCTATCCTTTAACTTCGGAAAATCGGACCTTGACTAAGTTAGACGTTTCACTGCTATTAGATATAAACTTTGTAAAGTTGAAGAATGTTCCATGGGAAACTGTTTAAAGAGTTTCCGTCATCGTCATTTTCAAATACCGTCACGAAAATACAATTCCTGGGGAACCTGGTTATCGTTCCGTGATACAAATTAAAGATCTTTAATGGGGCATTTGTTACTTGGAGCACATTCTATTCGAATGTAACTCATAACTTGTTTATTGAAATTCATGATTTCTTGAAATTATTTTATTATCGCTTCAGGTTTTGCGTTTTCTATTGTGCCTCCGGTTGACACTGCCACAAAGTCCCGAACTGCGGTGCTTATTCAAAATCGAAATACGGGCATCATTATTGCCGGTGGTGCCACAAACTAATATCATTTAACAATGGAATTAGCTCACTCCACAATGTTTTCGAAAGGGTCAGCCTGCTTCAAAGGGACTTTGACTCTTTAAGTTCTTCACACTCCCTAGTCTTAGCGTTACGAAGCGGTTTTGTTGTATCCCTGGCACTAATTACGTCCGCGCGCTACTGAAGACTGTTAACTTATTATAATTTTTTATCGTTTAGATGGGTGGACAGGCTCACGACCCACCTGGTATTAAAGGGTAACCGGAGCCCATAGACATCTACAACGTAAATGCCGCCACCTTGAGATATAGTTCTAAGGTCTCCGTTTTTACAGTATACTTACTGGTATAAGCGCGCATCTATCTGTTTTAACAATAAAACCGTATTCACAACCACACATGAGCTCCTGGATATTTGGCTAACTCATCTATACCTAGTGAAAAAAATACAAAACTACTAATGCTGGTATTCCTTCCAGCCTGAAGAGATCGTAGCCGAAGCAGCATCGGCTGGCGATGACGCACCTCCTCCCGTTGCGTACACAGGCTCTACAACCAACGTCCATCCATGGCTCTCGTCCATGGTCAACTACGCGCAGCCCATCAAGTTCCAGGGCTTCGAAGAGGCAGATAGTAAGTTTTATTACATAGTTAGTTAATTTTACCGCTAGGTAGTGTCTGCCGAACGTCCATAAGCGACGGGAACCACTTCAGATGAGCCATAGATTTTTTCACTGGTCAGAAGTTAATGGTGAACTTGTGCATATAAACAATTTTCGTCCAATGCCCAATATTGTACATGTATTGTCATCAGACCACCTATCATTATTATTTATTATAATATACTAGCGACCCGCCCTTGCTTCACTTCGGAAACTGTAATTTACTATTGATTTCTCCACTATTTAATGGATGTTATTATACATATAAACCTTCCTCTTCAATCACTCTATCTATTAAAAAGAACCGCATCAAAATCCGTTGCGTAGTTTTAAAGATTTAAGCATAGATAGGAATATAGGGACCGAAAAAGCGACTTTGTTTTATACTATGTAGTGATTAGGATACACTTCGTCTTAGATATGAGTCTTTCAGAAAAATCTAAAAAATAATGTTTCGAATCTTACATCTCTAATGTGTCTGAGCTGCAAGAATGGTTACGCTTACATAACTTAAGAGCGTAAGGAAAATCTTGCACCGAGCCGATTACTCGATAGAGAATCGAGGTCCAAATGCAATTTTTAATTACAATAGAAGCATATCTTTAAAAATTTTTTCGCACGATTCAGGCTTTAGGCCAAATATCTTGCACGCTCTAAGGCATTTATTCGAAATGAAAAACCCAACCTTCGAATTGAAATATTATTTATTTTGGAAACCATAGAACTTTGCCCGACAGTTAGATAAAACGTTGTTCACAGAGCGCAACATTTACCACAACATGTCCTCGTTCGCTGAGACGACCGGCATGAACTACCTAAAGAGCCAAGCCATCGACTTTGTGAATTACAACAAGCGACAGATGTCCCGTATTTATCCGAAAGGAACCCGTGCTGACTCCTCGAATTACATGCCTCAGGTAGTAATAATATTCATTACAAAAGTAATATCCACGAATTATGTCGAAAATTTTACGAATGACGTCTTCTGGAAAAACTAGCTTTAGCTGCCGTTTCTTGACAACCCGCGTCATAGTTTCTGGAGAATCAGGGAAGTGGTAATGTGAAGAATTTTACGCAGGGCGTATCTCTCCACGCCCATCTGTCCGACGCCGAACTAGCGCTATAACCGTCGGGCCTCTCCGTCGGAGGACTAATCCGCCTAAACGACGCCGCCAACTGATAACCCTAGGACACCCCACTGGGTCCATAACCCGCTTCCTCTTTCGTAAAACGCAAACCACCACCACCGTTCACAAAGCCATATGATTATCGCACAATAAGTATTCTCTAGAACTTCTAATATTTTGGGCCTGTCTTCTGTGGTAACTTAAGTGAATACCACCGTCATGAATGTTCTGCTTCGACGTGCTGCTGTTCTATTCAAATTGTGGACGCGTCCAAAGTGGGCTGTGAGTCCGTCAATACTCATAACTGATCGTAATAAATATTGATAGGTATTCTGGAACGCCGGATGTCAAATGGTGTCGCTAAACTTCCAAACGTCAGACTTGCCAATGCAGCTGAATCAGGGCAAGTTCGAGTACAACGGGAACTGCGGATACTTGTTGAAGCCGGACTTCATGCGGCGCGCGGACCGTAGCTTCGATCCTTTCGCCGACGCGCCAGTCGATGGCGTCATCGCGGCTCAGTGCAGTGTCCAGGTGAAGTGCTTCATGATAATAATCCTCTTCATCTTTTTCCTTCATTCGAACTTTTGGGAACCGATTGGATACATAACATTCGGATGGTTTTGTATTCAAAAGCAATCTCAGCCAGTCAATGGGAAATCTTTGTTGGCGTTCACTTCCTATAAAAGTGATTTAGAATACGCACAAAAATAAAAATAAACTTAATAATAATTACATTTAATTTTCTAGAATGAAATCTGGGTATAAAAGTAGACGGTAAGCGACGATGAGATATGCGTAATAAAAATACTTGTATGGACTAGGTATGTGAAAGAAGAAATGCAAGAAAATTGTGTTATTGCTGAGGTGAAGTATGATAGGCCCCAATGGAGAATAGAGGAAATGCTGCGCCGATCTCACATAATGTGAAATAAAGGATAAATGAAGAATTAAATTTGTAGAAATAACAAAGCGAACTATGCATGTGACTAGGAGATGTATGGAAAGGCTGCAAGGTAGAGGGAGAAGAGGTCGTCCGAAGAAGACATGGATGGAGTGTGTGAATGACGATATGAAAGAGAGAGGAGTGAGTGTTGAGCTGGCGGCTAATAGAAGAGAAGGGAATAGAAAAATTCGGAGTATCGACCCCACCTAGTGGGATAAGGTTGAAACAAAGAAGAAGAACAAAACGAATTATAATTTTTATATGACTTTGAGTACTGTACTAGAAAAGCATGCCCCTGTAGGCAACAAAATAATCGGATAACAAAACTGCTTCTACAGGTCATAGCTGGTCAGTTTCTGTCAGACAAGAAGATCGGGACCTACGTTGAAGTGGATATGTACGGTCTACCTTCAGACACGATCCGCAAGGAATTCCGCACGAGAATGGTGCCTGCGAACGGATTGAACCCAGTTTACAACGAGGAGCCTTTCTTGTTTAGGAAGGTAAGGGAATTGGCCAATACACTTGCGAACTGACTATTCAAATCGCTACTTGCCATGTGCCATTACTTACTTCTCAACATACTTTTATTACTGGTGGTAAAACATCGTATGAGTCCGCACGGGTAGATACCACAACCCCGCCTATTTCTGCCGTGAAGCAGTAATGCGTTTCGGTTTGAAGGGTGGGGCAGCCGTTATACTATACTGACACCTTAAAACTCATATCTCAAGGTGGGTGGCACATTTACGTTGTAGATGTCTGTGGGCTCCAGTAACCATTTAACACCAGGTGGGCCGTGAGCTCGTCCACCCATTTAAGCAATAAAAAAAAAACACTACTGGACATAGGCCTCTCCAATTCTCGGCAACTCTCATCCAGCTTGAGATCTATTACAGAATGTTAAATAATAAAATTAAGTGTTGCTTGAGAAACAAATAGAACTAAATACTGGTACCGGTTACATCATTTCTAAGTTAGTAAGTAAGTAAAGTAAAGTAAAATTACGTAACATCTATTTTATTAGTTTGAAAGTTCCGAAAGTGCCACGACTACTTTTCAACGTTTCACGACGTTATTAATCACCTCATACTTCTCACCAGGTCGTGCTTCCTGACCTAGCCGTCCTCCGTTTCGGTGTTTACGACGAGAACGGCAAGCTCCTGGGCCAGAGGATCCTGCCGCTGGACGGGCTCCAAGCCGGCTACAGGCACATCTCGCTCAGGACCGAAGCAAACTTCCCTATGTCACTGCCCATGTTGTTCTGCAACATCGAACTCAAGATTTACGTCCCGGACGGTTTTGCTGGCAAGTGATTTAAAGTTGTAATTTTTCTGTAATAATGGTCGTACTTACCTACCCCTTTGAAGGCCGACAGAGACCGAATAGACACCTTTGAAATGTGGAGCTGGAGAAAAATGCTACAGATTCCATGGATCGCCTTTCCCACCAACGTGTCTATTCTGAGAGAGTTTAATATCAAAACTAGACTTTCCACTATATGCCTTCGTAGGGTGCTGGAATTCTTCGGACATATTGCTCGTAAAGAGGGTCACAATCTAGAACAGCTGATGGTGACAGGAAAGGTAGATGGCAAACGTCCCTGATGACGCAGTCCCACGAGATGGTCGGACCAAATATGATCTTCTCCAAACATAAACTTCCACAATACCCTTCATGAAGCTAAGGATCGCAGCAGATGGAGGGAAATCGTTCAGGAGAAACTGATGCAGCGGGGGAGTCACTACCCTCAGTGAGGAGGAAAACGACGCGAGCAGGAGAACCTACCCCTTTTTATGATTGAAGGATTACTGGTGGCCCGGAGGCCTTTCCAGTTTCACCAGGACAGGTGGGCGAGCAAAGGCTCAGCCAGGAGGGGTGGGATTTGCTAACAGCTACCCGAGCGCCTCCGAAGGAGACCTAACAGCTCAAGAGCAGCTGCTTCGCGAATGAATCTACTACCGGATCGGAATCGCGACCCGCTGAGAAGATCCGGCGAGAAACTCAGCGAGCTGATTCATGGGTTAGGTTGCACGGCGAACTCTTTGTCGAGTTCGACGAGTACTGTTACCGAGGTCCCTAAGCCTGCTCCTAGAGCTGAAGGCGTCTAGTGCGAAGGTTATTGGATCTGATGGATCCGTAAGGACGTGTCTAGGGCGTCGACGGTGACTGGCTCCTGCATGATCAGGATTCGGGGAGTAGTCAGCGGCGGCTACGATAAGGCGATTATCATGACGCATAGCCTTATCGAAGTACCGTTCCGACGCTGACTTCATGTATTTCTGTATAGATTCGAGGCCCAGGTCGTCGTGTAGGTCAACGTTCCTCACGAACCACGGAGCTCCGACGGCTAACCTGCAAAAGCGGGATTGTAGAGATTGAAGGGTGTCTATGTGTGTGCGGGCCGCGTGAGCGAACACCACACTCGCGTAAGTCATGACGGGCCTTATGCAAGTTTTGTAAAGTGTCACCTTGTTCCGAAGGGACATTTTACTCCGCTTACAGATCATGGGGTAGAGTCTACCGAGAATAAACGCGGCACGGTCACGGACTGATTTTATATGCGGGCGGAATGTCATCGATGCATCCAGGGTAACGCCCAGGTACTTGACCTTCCTGGCCCAGGGTATGGATTGACTAAAGAGAGTAATCGGGGGTGTGAGATTCCTCCTCCTAATACGGGAGGAAATCCGTGTGGAGCTTCCCCTCTGAAAGAGCACCGCAGTACTTTTCGCTGGGTTGATGTCTATGCGCCATTTTCGGAACCACTGTCCTAGGGCTAGGGCTGCGCTCTGAAGCTTCTTCGCGATTAGGGACTTATTTCTACTAGAATAGTAAACAGTCGTGTCGTCGGCGAATAAAGCTAAATGGGTCGGCGGCGACCGGGGAATATCGTTAACGAATAAGCTAAATAGGAGGGGTGAGAGGACAGAGCCTTGCGGGACTCCAGCTGTGAGAGGTCGTGGGGAGGAGCGGGTTCCCTCGACTCGATATCGAAAAGAGCGGTTCGACAAGAAGTCCCGTATGATGAGCACGAGACTATCCGGCACACCCATGTTGAATAGTTTGAAAATCAAACCGTTGTGCCAGACTTTGTCGAACGCTTTTGCGACGTCGAAGAAGAGAGCTCCCGTGTATAACGGTTTTGGTCGATTAAGCCCCACAAGAATGTGCTCCGTGAGGCGGTGCACCTGTTGAACGCATGAGTGATTTGTACGGAAAGAACCTACCCCTATGAGCTCACTATACTTTCTGAGGTTTTGAGTTATATTCATCATCAGCCTATAGCCAGTACACTACTGGACATAGGCCTCTCCAATTCTCGGCCACTCTCATCCAGCTTGAGATCTATTACAGAATGTTAAATAATAAAATTAAGTGTTAATTGAGAAACAAATAGAAGTAAAAACTGGTACCGATTACATTATTTCTAAGAAAATTTTCCTAAAATAATTTTTCTCTATAGATTTCATGGACGCTCTCTCAGACCCGCGTGCGTTCAAGAAACGTTCCGAAGACATGCAGCAGATGGGCATTGAAGCTGGGGGACCTGAAAAAAGAGTACAACTCGAAGAGAAGAAAGAAGGTCAGTTGACTCTTGGCTCAATTTCATTTAGATTTTACGTATATTTAAATAATAGATCCCGATCAGGCTGTGACTGCATACAAAAAAGTTTATTATAACTATTCTTCATCGCGTAGCAGTTGGTGATGCTGTACCAGAGACTTTCTCCGAAGTTTTGTTTATTTATTGCCCAGTGCAAAAGGTCACGGATCACATGATGTTAAGTTTCCGGAGGGCGTAGACGTCACATTGTGAATACCTCCCATCCAACTTGAGAGACGAGGACTGAATTTCAATTGATTCCTTAAAGGCTGTCCCATCCTTCAAATGGAACTATAGGACAGCTTCGCACTTCAAATAGGCCAGATGGTCGTATCCGTCTGCTCTGTTATCTGGGCCTACATATCCGCAAATTATCTTCTATCAAGATTAATTTAGTTCGGGATAAATTAAAATTCTACCCAATTACAAGTTAATACTGTATTAGCACTTAGAACAGTTAAAACACTTCACAAACACTTTTAAATTCTCAATTCGCTTCTTCCGCCTAGCTTCAGGTGATCCGCTCGCTGTTTCGTTTCGAGTAGTTCCAATTACTAACTGACTGCGTGCCATCTCTGCAACGCTTTTATAGCCAATACCACATCGCTAGAATTATCGAGAACATTCCACACATTTCTAGTGTTGTGTTTCCGTTATCTGACAATAGATGACGTTGTACTTCTCGAACGTTCTAGGTGCTACTATATCCTTCGGCGATAGATGGCGTTACTCTTACCGATGTAACAATATGTTATTCCTTCATTGCGGAAAATAATACAACTGTTACACATTCGTCGTATTCAGTTAAACAACATCTTAACGCATAGAATTCGTATAAGGTCAGAGCCTCGTGCACTGACAGGAGACTGCCGGGTTTTTGATCATCTGATGTACCAGTACATGACCTATAGCTTTAGCCCCTTTAACTCACTTATAACAGCATAATCTTAGCTTCGAGTACATTATATTCCAGCCCCGTATTAACCCACTAATTACTACCATTGATGGAATATTAATCTACTACCATCGTAGTCATTACTACTGCTACTAGCATTCTCAGATTCAGGTCTGATGGATTGCTCTATTACAATATTGCTAAGAGCGGTTTTGTGTTAATGGTCTTTGCGATTTTTTATGTCACATAGCATATTTGTTAGCTCGCAAGAGATGGTGGAAATATAAACTCGCCCACGACTGCGACTCACATGGCCCTTTACCGACTAACAGCGTTTTTTATCATCATATACCCAATACCGTCTTTACCATAAGGGCACACGGGGCCCGTGCCCAGGGCCTCCATTCTCAGGGGGCCCCTAAGGACCGACAATTTCTCTCACACATTTATTTGGTTTCCGTTATCGTGATCGTAACCAAAAAACCAGCAGCATTCTAATATCATTAATGACATATTATACCGTATTTGACTACCTATAATAAATGGTCCTACTCAGTAAATTTTTTTTATTGTAATTCGCTTTTTTTACTTTCCAAAAGGGCCTCAAATTCTTGTGTGCCCAGGGCCCCAGTCTAATTTAAGACGTCCCTGCATATACCAAACTTTTAGATATGAGGAAAATTTGTATTTCCTTCGATTTCCTCAAGTCGGTTATCTGTGATCACAAAAACTATAAAGTATTCGCAATATCGGAAATAATCTAATGACAATAAAAACCGCAAGATTATATCTACCATAGTACTAGTTTTAATCATATGAAAAGTATTGTAAAAAAGAATTAATCCGTATTTATGATGCAGGACCACGGTCCGTATTTATGTACATTAGGTTTATCTAAGATTTTCTGACATTACGTCTTTGTTTATTGTCTATATATCGACGCTTGAAAGGCAAACGTGACTAAGCGACAATAACTGCTTTGTACATAAATGATAGGCAATAACAATATTCGATACGCAAAAAAAAAATATTTCTAGGTCTATTAAAATAATTTCAATCCTACAACTACTAGCTAGATTCTACTACAGCTAGATTCGTTAGAATAAATTTTGTTTTCAGGTATTTCAACTTTAAATTAGTCTACTGTAAAGTTCACGCATTGTCGCTTAGTCACGTTTGCCTTTCAAGCGTCGATGTATAAAAATACCTTTTTAGATAAATCACGGCTTCGTTACAAATAACACAGAAGTCAGGCCACACTCCCTTCTACGCTTTTCTGATACACGATCCGTGGGCGTTGTTACATTTCCACTTTTCTATTTAAAACGCTTCACGTCGATATAAATTGTGGGTAAACATCATGAATAATACCCGATGTAAGCATAACTCGCTGTCATTGAATACAATGTTTTACAAAAAATTTAAAATTATCTCGCTTACCAGTAGGGCTGTCAAAACAACATGATGTTCTGATTTAGGCGTACGAGTCGCATATTACGAGTATTATAATATCTCCTGTGTTTTTATCCGTGTCTATATATTTCATGTCTGTCTGTCTATCTATCTGGAGAAGCTAATTGAATGAAAAATAATTGAAAGCGCTGACAGAAAAACTTATGAAATATCCATGGCCCTAGCGAATTCATAGGAGGCTGTCATACCAACAGTCGCTGGTTTTTGAAAGCACGCAATAGATTTCCTAAGTCGAACTAGTATAATAGGTCTTGCTTCAGGCGCTCATTAGACATTTTCGCATTGGAAAGTTATTTGATCCTGTTTACATATTATTATGTAAATGTAAATTCGAGGCACTATAGCTCCATCCAAGCAAGGATTTTAGGCCTTTTCATATGAAATATTTTTGTTGAACGTGAAACCCGGTGGACCAGGTGAACCCGGCAAAAACAGTGGACATAGAGAACACATTAGTACAATATTTCTATGTTTTTCTTTTGTATAAAACTTGTAAAAAAAGTCAATACTTGAAAAACGTGGTCATTGTGCAAATTTGAATTTTTTAATTATAGTAACAATTTTTTTTCTTTTTTTTTTCTTTTATGGGTGGACGGGCTCACGACCCACCTAGTATCAAGTGGTTCCCGGAGCCTATAGACAACAAAAACGTAAATGCAGCCACCCACCTTGAAACATGAGTTCTAAATCTCAGGTTTATAGTTACAACGGCTGCCCCACCATTCAAACCGAAACTACTTTACGCCGCAAATAGGCAGGGTGGGGGTGCGGACCTGTGCAGACTAACAGATTTAAAGCAACATTTCTTAAATGAATTTACTTTAATTTAATAAATGACCTCTCATTTAAGTTCACGTATAATCAACGCTTGATAAGACTTACATTAAATTTTTCATATTTTAGAATGCAAAAATCACCTATTAGGTCATACACTAAAATGAAGAAAATTACAACTAACATTTTCTACTGAGCAATTAACAAATCATTTTCACAAACAGACCTACGTTAAATTGTCAAAGATTGAAATATATTTAAAAAAAAACTAGTTTTGTAAAACGCTCGGCTCTTGTGATATAGATACGTCTCGTTTGATAAGTCTAAAACAGCTTCACATCGATACTAAATAATCCAGAAAAACACGCAACTGAAAATAGTTTAGATTTACAAAAAAAAAGAATATTCGTATTGTTTTATTTTTAAAGAAACTGTATGTTTAGACGAAGATTTCAGTCCGTTTGGTATTATGACAAGGTAATGTTGAAGCGCTGTCTGTAGTTGTTCAACGCGTCGCAAGTGTTTTGCGCTGAATTCCTAGATATGATTAAACGTCAGAAAATCTTGAAGGATTATAAAAGTAATCATGTCATTTATTTATTCATTTTTATTTAAGATTTTAAAGTAAGGTTTTGTTGTTTTCTATTCAAAAAAAAAAAAGATTGTGACGCGTAATTGTGAATTAAGTCGAAGACTTTTAGATTTTTCCCTTTCGTTTGTTGAGAAGAATTGCCTTTTAATATAATGTATATTCTGTTCAGAAAATTAACGATTTCCCGGTAGGTACTATACACGGCACGAAACAAAATAAACCAAAGTTGAAACTCGCATAGGTTTTTTTAATGATTGAAAATTAATATTATAATGTTTTACGAAATCCTCTTTTACAATGTCTAAAATATATTTTATCATTTTCGATAATCCTACAGAGCCCCCCATCGTCTTCGAACCTATAACAGTGGAGTCCTTACGCCAAGAGAAGGGCTTCCTAAAGACCGGCAGGAAACAGCAGAAAGACCTGGACGCGATGAGGAAGCGACATGCCAAAGAGAAGATGGCATTGCAGAAGCAACAATGCACTGCACTTGAGAAGATGATAAAGGGAAAGAAGTTAGTAAATTATATTCCACTTTTTTGGTTAAAATTAATAGCTGCTTTGCTAACCTCTAGTGCAACTGAGGTTAAACACTAACATCAGCTACGTGAACGTCGTTCGATAGTGTTCCCTTCAATCACGAGGTCAAAATATGCATTACCTATTAACTAGAGGTCCCGCAGTAGTCGAAATTCGACTATAATTAATTGGAATTGTAAGTTTGTACACTATTATGATTGTATTTTATACTTCACAAATTTCACCAAGACTACACTATAAAAAATATTAACAAAGGCAAACAATATTTAATCTATTCTCAATTTGACAACAGACGTCAAGAACAAAAGTTTAACAATAAATAGTATGCATGCGTGTGTGCGTCAAATACATGGTATGTAGTGTGTGTAATGTTTTCTTTATTGATTTAATGTATCTTTTATGCGTTATTTAAAAAAAATATTAGCATTTTGCACTTCTTCTCTATATTCTCTATAAGTGTAGAAAATTTCATACTCCTCCGTCCGCGCAATTTTCGTAAAAAGGGATACAAAGTTTATGCTTCACGTATTAATATATAGATAAAAACGGAATAACGTCCCTGTTTCTTGGCAGAAATGGCTAAGATAATTGTGAATATCCGTATATGACAATGTAGTATAGATCTTTTTTTTCAATAAAACAATATTTTTTTTATTGCTTAGATGGATGGACTAGCTCACAGCCTACCTGGTGTTAAGTGGTTACTGGAGCCCATAGACATCTACAACGTAAATGCGCCACCCACCTTGAGATATAAGATCTCAGTATAGTTACAACGGCTGCCCTACCCTTTAGACCGAAACGCATTACTGCTTCACGGCAGAAATATGCAGGGCGGTGGTTTACCTACCCGCGCGGACTCACAAGAGGTCCTACCACCAGTAATTACGCAAATTATAATTTTTGCGGGTTTGATTTTTATTACACGACGGTATTTCTTCACCGTGGAAGTCAATCATGAACATTTGTTGAGTACGTAAGTATTTCATTAGAAAAAATTGGTACCCGCCCGTGGGATTCGAACACCGGTGCATCGTTCAACACGAATGCACCGGACGTCTTATCCTTTAGGCCACGACGACTTCCAAGTTTACTATGAAATAAACAAATAAAATGTTACAGCAAGGAGCAGCTGAGCACTGATCCGGCCTTCCGCAAGATGGTCAACGAGCAGTCGACGGCGTGGAGTGAACTGGTGGCCAAGCACCGAGTGGAAGAGTGGACTAACACTAGGAACCGCCTAAACGAACAACGGGAACTGCTGAAGAAAATGATGGAGCAGACACAACAGGCTCAAGTCAAACGTCTCGAAGCCAAGCACGAGAGGTGAGGCTGAAGATATGAAATCATCAAATCAAATCAAATTAAAAAAAAATTTATTCAACATAAATGAAAGCACATACTTGTTGAACGTCAAAAGAACTACCGCCAATTCACAAGAACTAGCCTCTGTCCTGAGAAGAATTGGCAAGAAACTCAGCGGGCATGTCTTTTTTTTTAATATTAGTTTTTTTTTTAATGTAAGTTTTTTGTTAAATATTCATTTTTATAATGTTTTTAATATAATTGTTAATTAAACATATAGTTTAATACAATTATGTTATAACATAACAATTATTACAATATTGAAATGCCCGGAGCGAGCAACTCATTCCCACTTTGTGCAATCTTCTAGATAATCATTGACTTTATAGTAAGCTTTATTGCACAGATGTTCTTTAATAGTTTTCTTAAACCTATGTATATGTAGGTTCTGAACATCTTGTGGGATTTTGTTGTACAGGCGCACAGACAAACACCCGAATGAATTTCGTATCTTATGTAACCTACTCATCGGCACAAAAATCTAGCGGTAGGCAGCAGTTCGGCTCTGCCCCTGGCATTGTTGAGGTCCATGGGCGACGGTAACCACTCACCATCAGGTGGGCCGTATGCTCGTGTGCCTACAAGGGCAATAAAAAAAATCATACCCGCAAAATTATAATTTGCAAATCACTGATGGTAGGACATCTTGAGAGTCCGCGCGGGTAGGTACCACTGCCCTGCCTATTTCTGCCGTGAAGCAGTAATGCGTTTCGGTTTGAAGGGTGGGGCAGCCGTTGTAACTATACCTAGACCTTAGAACTTATGTCTCAAGGGTGGCGCATTTACGTTGTAGATGTCTATGGGCTCCAGTAACCACTTAACACCAGGTGTTGGTGCTTCCCGCTTCCGTAGGTTTAACCCGCGATTCCCTACAAGTGACCCCTGGGTGGTGCTAAACGGGAGCCGAAAACATAACCGGTGGTAGGACCTAGTCCGACTGGCTGGCGACCACCCTCCAACTAGAGTCCGCCGCCAAATAGCCTAGCTGTGTTCCGGCGTGTGGGTTGGAGAGCCAGTTCTATCCCTTCCCTTTCCCCTTCCTTGTTGGGGTTGAGTCTTGGTGACGCCTGGAACTTGCGGAGCAGACGTGCGTGCGAACTCACGGGGCGTGATTGTTTGACGGGGGTATAGGGAGACCCAGTGAAACGGTACCCGCTGCCGCCCGCCGGTCAGTAGGGGACCTGAACCCGGGTGTCTCTACTAAACTCCGCCCCGGGAAGCTGTCCCGCCAACCGGTGTAAAATCCTGCCGTGCGGTCGTCGTGCCGGAGTCGGAGACCGGAGTGGATCCCGGCGATCGCACGCAGAGTGGACTGGGGGCCCTTCCATGCCCTGCGTCAGTCTCTCACGCAACCCGTGGTCGAGCACGTACTATGTTCCGCGCTTCATTCAGGTGTTGCCTCGATCTCACCTCCAACATCCTACCTCTCCTAATCCTACTCTCCGAAAACTTAAACATCATGAAGACGACAAAAAAAAAGAAAAGGGTTTCACAGGCGGTCCCCCATTCCACATTTAATGTGGATTTCAGCAATGTCAGGGGCCTACATAGCAACCTTGACGCCGTACACCACCACCTTGAGACGGCGCAGCCTGCCCTGCTTTTTTTAACGGAGACGCAGATATCTGCTCCGGATGATACCTCATACCTTGAATACCCCGGCTACGTATTGGAGCACAACTTCCTGCGTAAAGCCGGGGTGTGCGTATTCGTCCGGGCTGATGTCTGTTGTCGCCGTCTTCGGGGCCTCGAACAACGGGACCTGTCCCTCTTGTGGCTGCGCGTAGATCACGGGGGCCGTAGCCGAATCTACGCGTGCCTGTACAGGTCCCACAGCAGTGATGCAGGTTCAGCTCTGTTTGAGCATGTGCAAGAGGGGACTAACCGCGTGCTTGAGCAGTACCCATCTGCGGAGGTGGTGGTTCTTGGAGACTTTAACGCTCACCACCAAGAGTGGTTGGGGTCCAGAACCACTGACCTCCCGGGTCGGACTGCCTACGATTTCGCCTTGGCCTACGGCTTCTCCCAGCTGGTGACACAGCCCACCCGTGTCCCAGATATCGAGGGGCACGAGCCTTCTTTGTTGGACCTTCTGCTGACCACAGATCCGGCCGGATACAGTGTGGTGGTCGACGCTCCGCTTGGATCGTCTGATCACTGCCTTATTCGTGCTGCCGTACCACTCTCTCGTCCTGATCGTCGAACGACGACCAGGTATCGAAGAGTTTGGCGGTATATGTCAGCAGATTGGGATGGATTGCGTGAATTTTACGCATCCTACCCATGGGGGCGGTTCTGCTTTTCCTCTGCTGATCCTGACGTCTGTGCGGACCGTCTTAAAGACGTGGTGCTCCAGGGGATGGAATTGTTTATTCCCTCCTCTGAAGTGCCCGTTGGGGGTCGCAGCAGACCCTGGTATAACAATGCCAGCAGGGATGCTGCACACCTCAAGCGGTCCGCATACGTGGCATGGGATAATGCCAGGAGACGTCGGGATCCTAACATCTCAGGGGAAAGGCGGAAATATAACGCCGCTTCCAGGTCCTACAAGAAGGTAATTGCCAAGGCGAAGTCGGAGCACGTTGCTAGAGTTGGCGAGCGATTGAAGAGCTATCCCTCCGGGAGCCGTGCTTTTTGGTCGCTCGCCAAAGCTGCAGAAGGAAACTTTTGCAGGTCTAGTCTCCCACCACTGCGCAAGTCCGATGACAATCTGGCCCACAGCGCGAAAGAGAAGGCTGACCTTCTGGTCAAACTCTTCGCCTCGAACTCGACTGTGGACGACGGGGGTGCCACACCACCGAACATCCCCCGGTGTGATAGCTCCCTGCCGGATATCTGCTTCACACAGTGTGCAGTCAGGCGGGAGCTCCGACTCCTGGACGTCCATAAGTCGAGTGGGCCAGACGGCATCCCCGCAGTGGTTTTGAAAACGTGCGCCCCTGAGCTGACACCTGCGCTAACGCGTTTGTATCGCCTCTCTTATTGCACTAACAGGGTTCCGTCTTCATGGAAGACCGCCCACGTCCACCCTATCCCCAAGAAGGGTGACCGGTCGGACCCATCGAGCTACAGGCCTATCGCGATAACTTCCTTGCTTTCCAAGGTGATGGAGCGAATTATAAATACACAACTCCTGAAGTATCTTGAAGATCGCCAGCTGATCAGTGACCGACAGTACGGTTTCCGTCACGGTCGCTCAGCTGGCGATCTTCTTGTATACCTTACTCACAGGTGGGCTGAAGCCTTGGAGAGCAAGGGCGAGGCTCTTGCTGTGAGCCTTGATATCGCGAAGGCCTTCGACAGGGTCTGGCATAGGGCACTTCTATCGAAGCTACCATCTTACGGAATCCCCGAGGGTCTCTGCAAGTGGATCGCTAGCTTTTTGGATGGGCGGAGCATCACGGTCGTTGTAGACGGTGACTGTTCTGATACCATGACCATTAACGCTGGCGTTCCACAAGGTTCGGTGCTCTCCCCCACGCTTTTCATCCTGTATATCAATGACATGCTGTCTATTGATGGCATGCATTGCTATGCGGATGACAGCACGGGGGATGCGCGATATATCGGCCATCAGAGTCTCTCTCGGAGCGTGGTGCAAGAGAGACGATCAAAACTTGTGTCTGAAGTGGAGAACTCTCTGGGGCGAGTCTCCGAATGGGGTGAATTGAACTTGGTTCAATTCAACCCGATAAAGACACAAGTTTGCGCGTTCACTGCGAAGAAGGACCCCTTTGTCATGGCGCCGCAATTCCAAGGAGTATCCCTGCAACCTTCCGAGAGTATCGGGATACTTGGGGTCGACATTTCGAGCGATGTCCAGTTTCGGAGTCATTTGGAAGGCAAAGCCAAGTTGGCGTCCAAAATGCTGGGAGTCCTCAACAGAGCGAAGCGGTACTTCACGCCTGGACAAAGACTTTTGCTTTATAAAGCACAAGTCCGGCCTCGCATGGAGTACTGCTCCCATCTCTGGGCCGGGGCTCCCAAATACCAGCTTCTTCCATTTGACTCCATACAGAGGAGGGCCGTTCGGATTGTCGATAATCCCATTCTCTCGGATCGTTTGGAGCCTCTGGGTCTGCGGAGGGACTTCGGTTCCCTCTGTATTTTGTACCGTATGTTCCATGGGGAGTGCTCTGAGGAATTGTTCGAGATGATACCAACATCTCGTTTTTACCATCGCACCGCCCGCCACCGGAGTAGAGTTCATCCATACTACCTGGAGCCACTGCGGTCATCCACAGTGCGTTTCCAGAGATCCTTTTTGCCACGTACCATCCGGCTATGGAATGAGCTCCCCTCCACGGTGTTTCCCGAGCGCTATAACATGTCCTTCTTCAAACGAGGCTTGTGGAGAGTATTAAGCGGTAGACAGCGGCTTGGCTCTGCCCCTGGCATTGCTGAAGTCCATGGGCGACGGTAACCACTCACCATCAGGTGGGCCGTATGCCCGTCTGCCTACAAAGGCAAAAAAAAAAAAAAAAAAAAAAAGGTGGGCTGTGAGCTCGTCCACCCATCTAAGAAATAAAAATAAAAAAAAACAATAAAAGGGGTCTTTTAATTCAGTTTTTAATAGTCTTCGTCTAAAACACATTAATGCCTTCGTGCACGTTTTTCGCATCTGATGACAATCATCTTAAATTATTGCACTTAAATTAAATTCTAATATAACAACCCTGATCGAAATTGCTTCAGAAATTTAAAATTGAAGTAGCCACACACGAAAATTAATTATATATTTTGGTTTTACGTCAAATAAAGAATAATATGGCGTTAATAGCTGTTACAATAATACATTTCAACAATCATTCATATTGGGTCAAACAAATTCACAGAGAGCTGAAAGAGATGAACGCTCGTCAAGCCAGAATCAGTATGGAGACCAGCAAAGAGGTCGCCAACGACAAAACCTTGAAGACCAAACAAGAAAAAGATAGACGACTCAGGGAGAAAAAACAAAACAACACAAAGAAGTTTATGGACGAAAGACTGGTATGGATGTGGTTAATGCGACAATTTTTCGTCTAAATTACTACGCAAACCTTTCAAAGCTCAACTGAATTTCACTGTGTCGTCATTTGGGGCCAGACTAAAAGTCGAACTAACTATAACCCCACATAGAAACCATTTCGAAATTTTGGATTTCGACTTTAATTCAAAAATGGACCTAGAACAACCCTTTCCAGCGATTCTTAATAATCAAATGACCAACTGGTGGTAGGACCTCTTGGGAGTCCGCACGGGTAGGTACCACCACCCCGCCTATTTCCGCCGTGACCGTTGTAACTATACTGAGACCTTAGAACTTATATCTCGAGGTGAGTGGTGCATTTACGTTGTAGATGTCTATGGGCTCCAGTAACCACTTAACACCAGGTGGGCTGTGAGTTCGTCCACCCATCTAAGCAATAAAAAAAAAAAAAAACCAAAAGTAGCTTATAAAGGAGACAAACTTATCCATCGATCTCTTTCACTCCGTCCCCTTCCTTTACATTTTTTCGGTTCGAAAACTTTATTCGATGTTTTCCAAAAAACACTTTTTTTGGTTGGGTCTCTATAATTCTAAAAGTGCGATATACTATATACTAATGCGCAACGATTACTCATTATGTTTCGTGCATCATTATGTTGGCAGCAATAAATAAAGATCCTAACATATACTTAGTTATTAAAATTTAACGAATTCAGTGCTTTTCAAATTTAATCATTAATGATGAATATAAATAATGATTCAGTGATCGGTTTATTGAGAACTTAATAAGATAATCAGTTGTTTATTTGCCATTCTTCTGAATGCCTGACATTTTGGCCATTAAATAATAATTTTATTGATGGTAGGACCTATTGTGAGTCCGCGCGGGTAGGTACCACCGCCCTGCCTATTTCTGCCGTGAAGCAGTAATGTGTTTCGGTCTGAAGGATAGGGCAGCCGTTGTAACTGTACTGAGATCTTAGAACTTATATCTCAAGGTGAGTGGCGCATTTAACTTGTAGATGTCTATGGGCTCTAGTGACCACTTAAGACCAGGTGGGCTGTGAGCTCATCCACACATCTAAGCAATAAAAAAAAAACGGCGCACCACACAGACCGCAATACAATTGAATTATAATATAATTTTAATATTTCAGAGTCACACTAAGAAACAAAACCGCGAGAAGGATAACTTGAAGGCGACACACGAGAAACAGATGGAAGAGCTGTCAAAAGATGTTGATAATGTAAGTTATCTTATGTGTGAAATGAATGGTGCAGGCAGCCCAAGACCAATTATTGTGGCGAACNGGCGCACCACACAGACCGCAATACAATTGAATTATAATATAATTTTAATATTTCAGAGTCACACTAAGAAACAAAACCGCGAGAAGGATAACTTGAAGGCGACACACGAGAAACAGATGGAAGAGCTGTCAAAAGATGTTGATAATGTAAGTTATCTTATGTGTGAAATGAATGGTGCAGGCAGCCCAAGACCAATTATTGTGGCGAACTTTGGGGGAGGCTTATGTTCAAAAGAGGACGTACGTAGGGCCGCAAAAAAAAAAGGGTGAAAATCTCCAATTTAGAAAATCCGATTCACTACTTGGTTAGATGAACCAATGAATTCAAATAAGCAATCCGCACTTATTTCTCAAAAGAAACTATTCTCGCAAACACAACTACATACTTGCGTCCAAAACGTTATTCAGAAGAAATTTTGGGAAGTTTAAACTATATTTTTCTAACTAAAACACTATATTTTATTAATTTTTTATAAATAAAAACACTATATTTTTCTAAAACATGCATCCGAGTTATTTACATTAAATAAAACTGAACATTCATTTTAGCTAATCGAGATGTACAAGATGGAGGAGTCCGAATTCGACATGGCGAGTAAAACGGAATTTTTTGCATGAAAGTATCCTGAAATTGCTCCGCTGCTGGAGCAATTGACTGTGAAAGTGGAGTGAAGTGATCTCATTTAAATAAATAAATTTTAAACAAATAAATTACTAACGATTATTTAATGTTACTATTAATGAATGCTAATCTCGAATCTGTAATCTGTAGATGTAAATCAACTGAGATGATAACAGGATGTAATCTCATTTTACCTTTAAATTTATTCAGCTATTGTTTTGGTCATTGTGTCTACTATTTTAACAACCACCAATAATACGCGCCAATCTGAATAATGACCAGGTAAAGACTGGTTTATATATTCGTCTATTTTTGTTTATTGCCCTTGTAGGCAGACGAGCACACGGCCCACCTGATGGTGAGTGGTTGCCGTCGCCCATGGACTTCAGCAATGTCTGGGGCAGAGCCAAGCCGCTACTTACGCTGCTATGTTCAGTGAAAACAAATAGATTGCGACCTTACGCTACGGCTTTGCCTCACAAAAAAAAAACAGCATTGACTTCATGATCCCATTTTTAAATATTTAAAATGAAGATAAATTTGTTCGTTCAACCATTGCAACAATAAATCGCTTACGACAAAATTGACAAGGCAACTGACCAATGACGAATATTTAAATAGGTACCGCGCATGATCACGGACCGATCCTTTGATTCGTGCCAAAAAAGTGACACCGCGCTGAGTGATGGCGAATACTAAATACAAACATTTTTATTGTAAACACACTCGCATTTGTGCCTATTCGTCTGTAATCGGCGAGTATCTAAATGAGAAATCTACAATAATGAACATTAACTACAATTTTTGTTGACTGTTGTTGTTTAAATAATATGTAAATCAATTTTTATTACCTAATTTATTTATTAGCAATATTTAAATGAAATACTATTTTAAACTATAACGTTTGTTTATATGCTATGCAACTTATGTCTATTTTCCTGCACTAGTAGTTTTTAGACGACTACCCACAAGCAAAGTGGTGTGTGATTTTTAAGTTCTGTTGTAAGTTAAGTACCACCTGTTATCATTGTCTCTCTTACGTAATTATTAATATAGCAGCTGATCGAATTACAATTATAAAATGAATCTCAGTAGTTGAGTGTCATATTTTAAAAATACTTATGTAATCAATTTATTACTTAAACCTTTAAGTGTCTTCAGACTACTCTTCATGAAATGGTCAAAAGTATTTAAAAACAAAATTGATACATAAGCAACAAACATTCAGGTACATGTTAAATACCTATTTAAAGTTTATAAATTTGTAAGCCCTTGATTTATTCATAAAATATTTCCCTATAATCGAACTATATAATAATTGATTATGTAACTTATTTTACTTACAAATTCATTAACAAAATAAAGTTTAATAATAATGTAACCAGTAACCACTTAACACCAGGTGGGCTGTGAGCTCGTCCACCCATCTAAGCAATAAATAAAAAAAATTAAAAAAAAACTGGGGACAATTATTTACTATGATGATTGGGTGATAGGGTGATTTTTGTAATGAACATGAAACAAAACTATTTAATTTAAAATTTGATTTTTAAGGAATATATGAGTAATTAAATGAATAATTGAGGCCGGTACGGGTAAATAATCATAATATGTCAAAGAATTAATGTTGCATCATAATTTAAGCATTTGTAATTAAATATCAAATGTTATAAACTTATTTAAATAAATGTGTGATGAATGATGTGAATGATATGATAAATAATTTTTTAAAATGTTCATCATCAAATGTATTTACTAAACTCTAGCAGAATTTAAAAACATTTATTTAACAAAGCACCATTTTATTAAGAACATAAAATATTGTTGTTTTGAATTTTAAATTAGATAGGTAAGTAGATGTTTTATTAATACCTAGCTCTTATTTGATGATTATCTGTTGCTAAGCATTAAAATTAACATAATTAATGTTCTCTTCTGTATTACCACAATTTAATTAATATTTTTTCATTTTCAACATTGATTTAACTGAATATGCACCATTGATAACTTTTTTAAATGTTTAGATTACTTACTATTGAAAAATAACTTTTATGATAGATGTGAACGATTTTCGTGTAAAATTTAAATTATATTTTAATCGTATTATGTATTGTAGTAAATTTACTTAGATGAAATTAAAAAAAAATATTTTCTGATATTGTAGTTCTAATAAGGACATCTTTGTTCAAGTTTAACACGACATGAATGATTGTTTAGATAATTTTTTTTTTATATTCATAATGAATTAAATGAATTAAACTTCGTTTAGTTCCTGAGGGACTAAAGCAAATAGAAAAAAACATGGTAATGTTGTTATTGTGCTAAGAAAGACCTTTGCGAGCTGCGCAGGTAAATAAAATATTTAAATTTATGCAAGTCAAGTTTATATGAAATTAAAATAAATAATTACAAAGATCGCTTTTCTTGTACATACATCACTTGCACACCGGACCTCTTGGTGCCAAATAGATTTTCGAACACCATTTTATATAAATTCCAATTGTATTGTGAAAGGACATTGTCAAAGTAGAAATAACTTTTATAAGTGCAGACATTCGGGAGAATCTCCCTAAGGAATTGTAAGGAATTGTGGGGTTTCCTTACAAATCTATATATTCCTTTTAAGTATCCTGTGCATTTCCTACCTCAATCATTCCTACCATTTTGTGTCAGCTGTCAATTTCGTAGAACGTACCTTTATTAGCAAACCATGTATAGCTAGTGCGCCTAATTCATATCATAAATTAAGAATTTTAAACTTATTTTTCACACGTATTCAGTTTACATTACATAAGTACCTATGTTACACCAAAGATTTCTAATTNTTCCTTTTAGGTATCCTGTGCATTTCCTACCTCAATCATTCCTACCATTTTGTGTCAGCTGTCAATTTCGTAGAACGTACCTTTATTAGCAAACCATGTATAGCTAGTGCGCCTAATTCATATCATAAATTAAGAATTTTAAACTTATTTTTCACACGTATTCAGTTTACATTACATAAGTACCTATGTTACACCAAAGATTTCTAATTATTTTGTTTTTGCAATTTTCATCTATAACCATATTTGTTATACCAAAAAAATAAGATATGGCCTGTTGCTTAACAGTATCTAGCTTTTGCCTTTCCTAATTGCGGCTCCCTGGTTTCTGTCCAGAAACATATCCAATATTCTTCTAAAGTAGGTACCTACCGTAGGTACTGAAAACTATCTTTGTTGTCAGATCTCGCTAATTATATTACATAAACCAAGGAAATATATGGAAAACGGTCTTTTAGAAATTTGCCCATACTCGTTATCATAAAGTAAATCACGAATTTATTAACAAAAAATGTGAAATCATGTGGTGGTAAATATTATTTAATAATATTATCTTTTATTCTAGTATTTTAAGTCACCTCGTACCTCTATTTGAAGCATAATAATTTTATTAATAAGTTAATACCTACACAATGTAGGTATGTACGATAATGACGTGATTCAGTTCCCAAATATTCTCACGAACTTTTTTTTTATATAAATTTTATTGTCTTACATAATATGTAATGTTTGATTTTTTTTTATTATAAATATTTTTAAAGAATATTCGGAGTTAAAAAACGCGCGTGTTTCCCTGTCATTGTGAAAATATAGTTTTTAAAATTCATATACCTACATGCCCACACGTCATACAGCGAATAACTGTTGCCACAAAACTTAAAGATATATTGTATTTCAATCCGTAAAAGTAGCGATAGTAAATATTTAATTCTAGTCAATTTAGTGAAATCAAATTAAATTAGTTATGTATTTTGATGTACCTCCCTACCTACAGTTATTATATACTATTCGTTGCAAATTATTCCTCGATATATATTAAATAACTCTGAAAATAATAATTTTGAAAAATATGTCTCAAATTGGAAGTATATAAATTAGTTTAACTAAAATATATTGCGAAAATTACTAAATTATATGTAGATATTTTGTTAAATTTAAATAAAAATTAATCATGATGAAAAGATTTAGATTAAGTAAAAATTGTTGCACTTTTTTAAAGGATAATAAAATTATTCACATATTTTAAATGAAATTATTGGATTTTAACGAAGTATATATTTAAATCATAGTTTTACTATATTTTAAACGTTATACGATAATATTACATACATTCGATAACATTTTATTCTACATTTGGCCTATAAATTAAGTAAAGTCCCAATATTATAGCGGCTACCTTACTAGGTAGGTACTGACGGAAAAATGTTTCAACGTTTTTTTTAATTGATTGTATGTTAATAATATGGTATTCTATAAATAATTAATTTTATCTTCGTAATTTTATTATAGCATATGTATTTTCAGTACATTATTTAAATAATTGAATTTTCTTTTTCAAGACGTTTTTTCTCTTTAAAATTTAGGCAGAAGTGACATCTTAGAAGCTTTTAATTAAGTCTAAAATTGATTTTTATGTGTGTTGTTTGTGTAATAAATCAGAGTACCTAGGTACACATATATTTGAAAAATCCTTAACATTTACCTATTTTTATATTTTCTTCTTAATTCGAACACAAAAGAGCTTACTAGACATTAAGTAGGCACCTATTATGAATTACATTTCGGAATTAAACAATAAAAATCGATATGAACAAAAAATTACTTCTACCTAAAGTTTTAGTAGAATCGACAATGGCGCGAAAGGTGGCATATTTTTAACTCGCCTTCAACAATTACCACTATCGACATAGGTACCTATTTAATGTAGGTTTATGACCTATTCCTATTAAGGTTTTAAAACTTAGGTTATAATCAAAATGATAAAACCTATCATTGTTGTTCACCGACCATTGTTATCATCATTGTTATGTACAAATAAAATACGTAGGTACATTGCAATTATTTCCTGTGTAATTTGAACTTTTTTTTTAACAACGAAAAATCCGGTAACAAGCGTTTATATAAAGTTTTGACACACGATTCCTTTGCTTCCCTCGAAATTTTTAGTAATATAAGTACGAAAAAAAGTAAAGCAAATATTCTAAAATTGATTGTATGAAAAGTTAATTTAGTTGTTGCGGTTTATTAAATTAGAAAAAAATATATACAGTACTAAATGTACTTATCCGAACTATAACTTACATACTTATTCTTTATTAGATTATGTAGTAGAAATATTTTATCTAATAATACGTTTGTTTCAAGTACAATAAAATTACATTAAATATTAATTGTATTTCATTTTCTTCGACATTCTAATAGATGATGAAGTACCTACCTACCTAATCAGCGTGTTAGTTGATCAGTACTTTTTGTCCTAAAACTCATCAAACAGCATATTAACGTAATTAAAATATTTTCGCAAAATTAAAATATGTTCACTAAATACGAAATCATTACTGGTGGCAGGACCTCTTGTGAGTCCACACGGGTAGGTTTTCTGCCGCGAAGCAGTACCTAATGCGTATCGGTTTGAAGGGTGGGGCAGCCGTTGTAACTATAGAGACCTTAGAACTCAAGGTGGGGGTGCATTTACGCTGTAGGTCTATGGGCTCCATTAACCACTTAACACCAGGTGGGTTGTAAGCTCGTCGACCCATAAAAGCAAGAAAAAAAACTTGGTAAGAATTTATGTATTGTCACTGGCAACTCTTGTACATATTCAAATTAGGACTACTATTCCATTCCAAGTCATTCTAAGTTTCGATCTCATCAACATTTCAATTGAGTCATGTACCACTTACCAATAGAAGCTCACGCGTCTTTGACCCCAAGTTCGTTTACCATTGTTTAACGGCCGTCTGGTGTAGTAGTAAGTGACATGCTCACTACACAAGGGGGTCGCGGGTTCGAATCCCGCCAAGGAAAGATATTTGTATGATAAATATAAATGTCTTTTCCAGGGTTATGGATGTATATTAAATATATGTATGTGTATAATAAAAATCTTACATTTATTTCCGTTGTCTGGGACCTGTAACACAAGTTCTTTACGAACTTATCACGGGACCAGTTAACGTGGCGTAAAAAAAAAAATTATCAGGCTAGCTACCTGTTTGTCTAAATAGAACTAGGAAAGGCGACTAAATATCTTTAAAAATACCAAGTTGATATAAAGTTCCCCATAAATTCATTCTTCTATCCACTTTACAACAAAATATCAGATTTAAATTCGGAATAGCAACTTTTTTTTTTTTTTGCTTAGTTGTGTGGACGAGCTCACAGCCCACCTGGTGTTAAGTGGTTACTTGAGCCCATAGACATCTACAACGTAAATGCGCCACACACCTTGAGATATAAGTTCTAAGGTCTCAGTATAGTTACAACGGCTGCCCCACCCTTCAAACCGAAACGCATTACTGCTTCACGGCAGAAACAGGAGGGGCGGTGGTACCTACCCGTGCGGACTCACAAGAGGTCCTACCACCAGTAATTACACAAATTATAATTTTGCGGGTTTGATTTTGAAGTGAAACTTCCTTATCGGCGTTGGAAAAAAATTTACCGTCACATTTTTCGGTTACGCGTCACATTTTTCCGTTACGCGCCATCTTTTTTGTATTCATGTCTATGATAATAAAATCCTTTTGTTTAAACTTTATCTAATTTAACTTTTTTGTATTCATGTCTATGATAATAAAATCCTTTTGTTTAAACTTTNGTATTAGATAATGTTTTGGAGATTTGTGACTTTATTACTAGGTGCCATAGTTGTTATTAGTTTGAAAGTAAAAGTGTTTCAAAACTTTTTTCTCCGTTTGTTAGTAAACGAATGTAGCTATATAAGTATATATTCACGCGGACAGTTTTTGCTTTAATTTTGTACGTATCCCTTTATCTAGTTACTATTGTTGATCGAAGGTGGTAGGACCTCTTGTAAGTCCGCACGGGTAGGTTTTCTGCCGTGAAGCAGTACCTAATGCGTATTGGTTTGAAGGATGGGGCAGCCGTTGTAACTATACAGACCTTAGAACTTATATCTCAAGGTGGGTGCGCATTTACGTATGTATGGTATGGTATGTCTATGGGCTCCAGTAACCACTTAACACCAGGTGGGTTGTAAGCTCGTCCACCAATAAAAGCAAGAAAAAAAAACTTTGTAAGGATTTATGTATTGTCACTGGCAACTCTTGTGCATATTCAAATTAGGACTAATATTCCATTTCAAATCATTCTAAAAGTTTCTATCTCCTCAACATTTCAATTGAGAGTCATGTACCACTTACCAATAGAAGCGCACGCGTCTTTGACCCCGAGTTCGTTTACGATCAGGCTAGCTACCTGTTTGTCTAAATAGAATTAGGAAAGGCGACTAAATATCTTTCAAAATACCAAGTTGATATAAAGTTCCCCATCAATTCATTCTTCTATCCACTTTACAACAAAATATCAGATTTAAATTCGGAATTGCAACTGAAATCTATATATATATATTTTTTTTTCAATATATACAGTAAATAATCAGAGCTGGTGTTGAATGGTGGGACCTAAAGATCTTCAACCATCTTGAGGCATGAGTCTCAGTGTTATAGTGATACCTACTGCTGTCCCATCATTTAGGTGACTGTGTTACTCTCTTTTTAAATTTTAATTTTTGACTTCGCAGAATACCTTACTCTAACAGCATATACAAATCCACACATCCTCACTATTATCATTAAAACATCCAATATTATCAACAATTTATTTACACACTACAGAGTATGTTAATTTTACAATAAAACTACTTAACACTAGTTTAACATAATTTTCAGAAATTTCAAATTTAAAATTGAATCCTTGTATCCATCTTCTTTCTGTAAAAGTACTATATATAGCTCTTGGTATTTATAATAAATAAAACAAGCTTGTCTGATTCTCAGTACCACTAATGTTCAGAATGGACTGAATGTAGTTATTTTTAGTATTAAAATATGCTTCAACTATTACAATACATATTATACAAACATATCGACGCTTGAAAGGCAAACATGACTAAGCGACAGTAACTGCTTTATATATAAATGATAGGCAATAACCATATTTGATGCGCAAAAAATATATATTTCTAGGTCTATTAAAATTCTAATAAATATTAAAATCATTTCAATCCTACAGCTAGATTTGTTAAAATAGATTTTTTTTCAGATATTTCAACTTTAAATTAGTCTACTGTAAAGTTCTCACATTCTCGCTTAGTCACGTTTGCCTTTCAAGCGTCAATATGACACACATAATCTTTAAATTACTTCAGTGCGGAACTACAACATGAAATGATTTCTTACTTGGCCTTAATAAGTTTTTACAACTTCTTTGGGCATCAAATAAAAAACACAATTTTATAACAAGCTCTTTGGCATAAAGTTCAGGAAAAGTAAAAAGTTTTACATTTCAATATTAAATTTGAAAACTCTAACAGAATGCTAAACATTGCTTTAAATTAAATTTGTTTATAGACTGTCGGTTTCCAAGTGGACTTCATACTTCGGATTTTCTTGCATTCTTTATACAAACTTTCTTGTTGAACTGGAATATGAATATATAATTTTTCATCAGTATATAAATGTATAGTGAAATAGAAAATTAAAATAAAGCAACTTACATTTGCTCTCTTGCAGATTATTTAACTATGAGTTTGAAACATTACTTTGTCTTACAACAAGGGTATATGTATGGGGTTGTTAAGATATTGTTTTCCTTTAATCCCAGAAAGTCATGATGAGTGGCAACACTCATGTCGTGGTGGTGACAGACCCCCACAATACACAATACAGTGAGCGGAATAAAACAGAACAAGAAAACATTCCAAATAACTACAATGGGAAATGGTAGTGCAAAGTAGAGGGGGAAGAGGTCGACCGAAAAAGACATGGATGGAGTTTGTAAATGACGAGAGAGAGAGAAGAGAGAGAGTGAGTGTTGAGCTGACGGAAGAGAAAAAAATGCTGTGTCGACTCCACCTAGTGGGATAAGGTGACGAAAAAGAAGAGAAGATAACTACAACAATGCAAAGCAAATATTTTTTTCTAGAAAGTTGTTTAATTTTATCTAACCAATTCTAACCAATTTAAACCTCCCAAGTTTTATTATCAAATCTATAAATCATGTAAAAAATTCAAGCCACTTGATATAAGACAAATATATATTATATACTAAATTATTTCTACAAGATCAAGAATAAAATTAATGTTTATTGAATTAAAGTCTTACTATATGGATCGAACTCTATAGACTCCATCTTATCAGCAAGACGCTCTCGTATCCTCGTCTTTTGGTGTCCAGAAACAGCACTCTCAATTATTACCATTATATATCTATGAATACAAACAAAATATTATTAATCCAAAATTTTTTTTCATATTCCAATTAAACAAATAGACTCACTTGCTCTTCGCCTTTTTAAATAAAACGTTAGTAAGAAACATAACTTAAATTGGAATTAATCTTTTTATTAATAAAAAAAAGTTTTAATTCAAATGTTTATGAGCTTTTTAAACCTGGAAAGAAGCAAATTATTTGTTTTAGGGTCCAGGGAAATTTGACATGAACAGTGAACTAAATGGCATGTATATGCCACTTTTTTTAAGGGATTTTATGACCTGGTAACTGAGACTTTTAAGTCATGTCTTATTTTAATTTCTCTTATTCATATTTCATGTACTTCTTATTTCTATTTATCTTATTAAAAAATGATATTATGGAGTGAAATGAAATGAAGATGATTAATTTGAGACATTAATCAACTGGGATGAAATTAAATGAAATGAAATGAAATGAGATGGGATGAAATATAATCTCAGTAAAATGGTGGTCATTTACTCTTATTTTATTCTTTATTGTACACACAGTTAATTTATTACAGTAATTGCGATAAGATATAAAAAATGGCGAGCTTAACTCAACAATTGCGTTATCTACCAGCTAACCGTTCTTAAAGAAGGAAAGCTTTACATGAGTGGGTAGATGAGTACAATGTAATCAATTCACTTATTGATACAATACACAATAACAATAATAAAAATAAAAAACACTAATACATAATATATCAGACTATATACATACGTTACGTCCAGCGGCTTTGTTTAATTTTTCCACATTTGTGCACTTTCACAAATATTAAACAGTTAATGTAGTTGTGTAATAATGGTGGTTTTATTACACATTTAAACCCGAAGAAACATTAAATAGACAAAATAAAACAAATCACACAACTTCACTCCTCGCGTTCCCGCCAAAAAGTCCGTATATGGCACAGATAGAATATGGGCACAGATTTACTATATTAGTTATGTCTGACAGACGGATACATAGAAAAACACGCAAAGAAATTAAGACGGCAAAGATATGTTTTTTTTTACATGAGAATAGAAAGACTGATGAGTCAAAATCAAAATTATTTAAACGAGTAGTTCGTCACTGTAACAGTTTGGAATTAATAACGTAGCTATTTTTTTTTTGTCAGGAGGAAATCACCGGACTTCCGCTCTCCACTGGGGATGGAGGGCGGGACATGTCGGAGTTGAACCGACTAAAACCTCCTGTCGCTCAACAACCAGCATCCAAACCTCGCATGAGACAGAACTCATGAAAAGGCAAAGGGGGGAAAGTGAAGCGTTTAGTGCGGAGCACATCTCTCCCATCACCCTCCCCCTCGGGACGCCGGACTGGCGGTCGTCGGCGCCACGACCACCAGTCCTCTCGGTCGGCAGGCTATCCGAAGCCCGCCTAGATGGCGCCGGTTAGAATGGTCTACCCTCGGAATACCCCGCTGGGTCAGAACCAGCGTGGGTTGAGGATAGCCGGCCTTCCATCACCCGGACGCTCTTGCATAAAACGCGTGCAGAGCAGCTTGCACGTCGTCTTCTTAGGTCCCCTTCGCCGGTCCCCAGGCCGACATGTGAGAGAGACCCGAAACACTTAGAGGGCCAGGGCTTGGGCGAAATCCGCCTCCCTGGCCCCCGCTCGACGGCGGCGGGCCTGCGCGTCTCGCACGCGCCCCGCCGCCTCCTTCTGCGAGATGGTGCACTCGCAGAAGTCGAGCATCGCCTTCCACGACTCGTCGTCACCGAGCATCGATGCCACAACACCCGGCAACGACAAGTCGTTTCCTATTTTTGCGACAAGGACACGGCGCCACCCCTCCCATGCGGGGCAGGCGACGAACATGTGCTCCGCCGTGTCCAAGTCGCAACCACAATGGTGGCACTCTGCCGTCAGCTCGGCTCCGATCCGGTGCAGGAACTCGCCGAAGCAACCATGCCCAGTGAGCACCTGTGTGAGCCGGAAAGTGAGGCGTCCTCTGTCACGATTCACCCAATTCACAAGAACCGGGCGAATCGCCTCGACGGTCCTACGACTAGCCGAAGGATCGGCCAGCCGTCTGGACCATGACTCCAGCAACGTAGCTATTAACCGATTTGGAATGATAATACGTCACTAAAACGAATCTCCAAGAAACTCAAGACTTGCGATTCCAAATCACACAAAATTTACAAGACCCGAGAAAAAGTTGGAACACTTTACTTTTTAACATAGTTAAAAGAAATCTTCACAACGCGCAGGAGACACAATTGAGGCGAAGGAGAGGCTTATTCCAGTGTCGGATGATGCGAAATAAAGAGATAGTCTCTATTCCAGCGGAAAATGGTCCGATGGTAACTAGAGGTGAATGGAGGATCAATTTAAGTATTCAATATCAACTTTCGTCAGAGCACTTCCCAAGGAATTCACGGTACAAAACACAGGAGAAGCGAAGCTCTTCCATAGACAAAAGGGTTTTAACGATCCGTTATGTTTTTCTAATTCGAATAGCTGTACATTTAAAAAAGTTATTTCTTGTCAAATCTATTATTCTGTCTAAGTACGTCTGCGTAGTTCAAAATCCTCTTTATGACTACGAAAATAAAAATTTGCGTATTTTTATCTTTTGCATGTTTAACAATGTAAGACATTAATAAGATATTTCTGGAAAAAAAGACAAGCTGAATTATTTCGTAAGATTAATCTTAGGACTATGGTATGTTGGAAATCAGTGGTAGCAATTACTTTGGCATTCAATGAGCATGGTCAGTGTAATGCTGACGAACTGTGACCTGTGATGTAATTGCTGCTAACATTAGAACTAGAAGCATCGGGGTAAATCGAGGGTGGATCCAGCGGATTCGCCAAGACGTATAGAGGTTATTGACGATACCCATCTAAACAGCTGTATTATACGCCGGCACAAAGTTGTATTTAATAGTGGTCACGATTAGAGGACTCATTCGCCAAGCAGCTACTCTTTTTCTGTTTTTGGGTCTCCTTTGGGCGCTCGGGTCGCTGTTAGCAAATCCCACATCTTCTGGCTGAGCGCTTGCTCGCCCACCTGTACTAGATAAACCGGAAAGGCCACCCGGCCTCCAGTGGTCCCTCAATCACAAAAAAGAATTTTAAAAAGATAATGAGAGCCCGTTACTAAAAGTTGAAACCTGAAAAAATACGAAATCTAGAAAATAATATTTCCCAAACCTCTCCTCGCTTTACTGCTTAGTACGTTTGATCTATAAAAGTCCAAAATCATAAATAATCTATAACATTATTTAAGTTGAAATTGTAAAATTAAATAATTTCATATAGTTAGGTACATATGTACGGTACGGACTTTTTGGCTGGAACGCGAGGAGTGAATTTGTGTGAAAGTGCACAAATGTGGGGAAATAAAACAAAGCCGCTGGACGTAACTTCTCGGGATACTCCAAAAAGTCCCTGAAAAAATCTCCGTTAATGACCACCATTTTACTGAGATTATATTTCATCCCATATCATCTCATCCCGTTTCATTTAATTTCATCCCAGTTGATTAATATCCCAAATTATTCATCTTCATTTCATTTCACTCCATATTATCATTATATCACGGTTCTTTTAAATTTGGAAAATTGTCGTACAGGGACTACCTGTTTCTCGAATTCTAACACATAAAAATTTAAATCTAGAATTTTTATTTCAATAGTATAACCGATATTATTTTAAGGGATTTTATATCCTGGTAACTAAGACTTTTAGGTCATGTCTTATTTTAATTTATATTCTTATTTGTATGAAAAATTATAATACGGAGTGAAATGAAATGATATGAAATGAAGATGATGAATTTGAGACATTAATCAACTGGTATGAAATTAAATGAAATGAGATAAGACGATATGGGATGAAAATATATGAATAGCAATTTCGGAAAGGGCACATCTCTGAAAATGTAAAATGTTCAGGAAATGAATAAAACTGATTATTTTCGAAAGCAGAGTAAAATTTAAAATATTAACTTTTGAGATATATTTTAGTGTTAATTAGAATTTGAAAATTACTGGAATTATTATAAAATGGTTGTAGGTTAGCCTCAAAACTACATGTATATGAAAAAACGTATTTGACAAAATATGCGACATGTGCCCTTTATGAAATTGCATATTCATATATAATTGAGTAAAAAGGTGGTCATTTACTGCTAAAATTCCAGTGGACTTTTTGGAGGATCCCGAAAAGTTACGTCCAGCGGCTTTGTTTTATTTTCCCACATACGTGCACTTTCACAGATATTAAATAGTTAATAAACCACCGTTATTACACATTTAAACCTGAAGAAACACTAAGTAGGCAAAATAAAACAAATCACAAAACTTCACTCCTCGCGTTCCCGCCAAAAACTCTATAACCGATATTTTACGATGACCATAAACTACTCATAGATAGGGGGTTATCTGTGCATAGATACTACCAGATGCTACGTTTCTGCCGACCGTAGACAATGTAAAGTTACGAAAAATATGCCACGCAAACAAAATTATACAAAATAAATGCAATTGTTGACAGAAATAAAAATAATGTCAATGCGGTACACGTGCATTGCAAAAAAAAACCTTTAATATCCATTTGTGTCATACTAATTATGTTTGTGTTACTCAGATTTAAGTCAATAATTTAAGTCTTTCATACTCTAAGAACTAAATAATTCCATACTTGAAATCTACGCTAAAATCACATGTCACAACTGCCAAACAAAAGGTGAATCCTGGTAACATTCCAAAAACAAACTCGTTCGTGTAATGATGAACTTGTGAACCGGCAACGCCGTCGTTTTCGTACGACAATAACTTTTGTGTTTGTTCTTTGTTCTTTTTTTACAATTTAAATGAAGTGAACAACGTCCAGTGCTGTGAGTTTTATTACTATTTTGTTTTCTGTAGTGTAGTAACAATAAAAGAACAATGCAAAACGATATGGAGAATGGCGGCGGCGACGCCAATACCAATGTGTCACCGACTAAACTCATGGTCAATTACATACCGGAGCTGATGACGCGCGACATGATGTACGCGCTCTTCTCTGCCATGGGTAAAATAGAGAGCTGCAAGCTGATAGCGAATCGCGGCTACGGCTTTGTTGAGTATGAAAAACATGAGGACGCTGAGAAGGCGCGGGCTGCATTCAACGGCCTACTGATGCAAGGCAAGACGCTGAAAGTGTCGTTTGCGCTCCTCAACCCTGAGAACAAAGTCAGCCACAAGCCCGACACCGAATCC